CGATATCAGTGAAGCATTAGTACTGGGACGACATGTTTGAGTTTGTGTGTGTGTGTGTGTGTGTGTGTGTGTGTGTGTGAGTGTGTGTGTGTGTGTGTGTGTGTGTGTGTGTGTGTGTGTGTGTGTGTGTGTGTTCGTGTGTGTGTGTGTGTGTGTGTGTGTGTGTGTGTGTGTGTGTGTGTGTGTGTGTGTGTGTGTGTGTGTGTGTGTGTGTGTGTGTGTGTGTGTGTGTGTGTGTGTGTGTGTGTGTGTGTGTGTGTGTGTGTGTGTGTGCGTGAGTGTGTATATGTAAATGTTTTAAACTTCAGATTGGAAAACACTTTTTTATCACTCATGGCAAAAGGTTGTGACGTAAAGCAGGAGAGGATCTCGTTTGGCGGGTACGGAGCAGAACCTGGAAAATTCCAGGGGAACTTCGGAGTTGCAGTGTCTGCTGACAGTGAGATATTTGTGACTGATCAGTTCAACAAACGAGTCCAGGTCTTTAATATGAAGGGGACCTTTCTCCGCCTCTTTCCAACCGTCGTGCCGGGTGAAAGAAAGACAATGCGCCCTTGTAGTGTTTCTATCGATGTGGGCCCTGGCTACTTGTGGGTACTGGGGAGATACAAAGAAGCGCATGTGGTAAAGTACAGTAAGAACGGACAACCCATCAAAAAGTTTGATTTTATCAACAAGAGCGTCTATCCCGTCATCGCGATGGACGTGCGCAACAGTAAGGTTATCGTGGGAGACGGACAGAGAATTGTGATGTTTGATCCAAACGGCTCTCGCCTTTGGAGTTCAGAAGTGCGTCTGGGATACGGGATCGGGGGAATCACATCGGACAAGGAGGGAAATGTCATGCTGACGGATAGGCGTAAAACCATCCAGAAGTACATTCCCTCCGGAGTAAAGATATTTGAATTCGGCACCTCTGGAAAGGGGAAGGGGCAACTGAACTCTCCCAGAGGTATTTGTCTTGACACCTCGGGTCACATCATTGTGGCGAGCTATTTGAAAGACCGGGTAGACATGTTCACAAGCCAGGGCGAGTTTGTCCGCACCATCGCGGACATTAAATTCCCGGAGGCTGTCGCTATGGGACCATGTGGAGAGTTGGTGGTGACTAGCCCATATACAAACACTGTATCTATCTTCCCACGGCACATGGTGCTTCCTTGAAGCCCTAAATTGTGTTCACTTTATGGTTAATGTTGTTATCTCTGCACGACTGATTCTCTGTTGTTTATGTACCATACACATTGTATTATCAAATGGTGTCGTATAAGCCCACACGGACTAGGCGCGGGAAGCCTTATTCATTCATTGTAAAGCGTAGATTGTCAAAATTGTTGTCTTTAAGATGAAATCTTAGTGCACAAAATCGTACTCCAGATGTTCAGGTCCAGACCGGTGCCTAAAAAAGTCAGTGAAGGTTAGACCTCCAGGTAATAATATACGCCAAAAAGTGTTACTAACAAAAGGTAGTCATGATACTTGAAACGTTTGACCATTTCCAAAAGCATATATCCAGTTGCTTTAATAAGTAACTGTTTTTTGGCTGTTCCTAAACAATTATACAGATACAGTTATTAAGTACATGAGGGACCAACATTAATTTGTAGTCTCTTTTCACTCCAGAGTTTATTTGAAGTACATGTAAATATGTATATCCATATATTATTGAATTGCTTGTAGGCCTAGAGCGCATTGCAAACATGGCATAGTGGTGACATGTCCATGTAACTTTGTGGCTAAATAAAAAAAAAAGAAATGACTGCAATATTTTGGACTGTTGCTGGAAAAAATAACTATTACAAGAAATTCTGCTTACTGTATTGTCATCAAAGTATCACGACAGTGTCGAAAAATGTAATGAGAAGATGTGGTGAAAGGAAAGTATCAGAACAGGGCGACTACTGCTATTTATTTGATATGACGAATAAAAGACTTGTTGTTGTTACACTGTGTTCTTTTAATTTATTTGTTTCCTAACATTAAATTTGGTATTTCCTTAGTACAGTCCAAATCTTGGCATCTAGTTTTTTCAGCCCTTCATGTTTTTTATATCGCGCTTTCGCATCAAATTTAACGTCTCCAGTGCAATGGCAACCATCCATAACTAGAGTTCCACGACCTCATACCTTCGCCAAATGATGTTGCCCTTAGGCCTTGACGAATGTTGACGATTCGCATTGATTATGAAAATTAGGCATTCATTTGCATAAACACTACCTGCCAATGTTCTTCTTCTTCACAATTACACATGCCACACGTTTGAATAATCATATCATGGAAGGTAGCAGATTTATATCATCCCCTCATTAATTATGCTAATTAGCTGTTGATTTGCATAACTATCATTTTAATAGGTCAAGTATTCTTTAAGGTACCCACATATCAAAAATCATGATGATCCATCAATCGGTTCTTGAATTATCCTCCTTCGAATATTTTTCAACGAATGCTTCTGCAGTCCCAGAACAAGCCGCTAGGGGGTCCAAACCCATGTCATTTCTTTCCCAGCCAAAGAGCTACCTACCATCCAAATTTAGTGACCCTACCATGTCCAGATCACGAGATATCAAAACCGGAAGTTCAGCTGCAGTGTCATAACAAGCCGCCGGGGGGTCCAAAATCTAATCAGCTCCAGGTCTCATCAAGACCTACCCACCTACCATACATAAAGACAACCCATCTGAGCCTTCTTGAGTTATCGTGTTGACACACACACACACACACACACACACACACACACACACACGAACGCCAACGAAAACAAAAATTACTTGGTGTGGCCTTGTTTGGAAACAAGAGTTCAAAGATCTCATACCTTCGCCAAATGATGTTAACCATTTCGACTGAGGAAATTATATATTTTCCTCATTGATGATGAACATAAGATCCTCCGTTCACTTCCATCATGGATTGTATCAGTTGATCATTATAATTATTACCCACCCAATGACAGGCGGAAACCACGTGTAAAGCGCTTTCGCTGACTCCGTCTGAAAATGGCCTTTGTTGTCACTGCTATGACTCCTAGCTACGAGTTATCAAAATTCGTAATTACCTCCATGAAAAATGGAGGTATTGTCTTTGGCGTGTCTGTCTGTGTGTGTCTGTCTGTGTGTGTGTATGTGTTTGTGTTTCCGCACATTTGTAGTCAGCAGAACTTCATAACGCCTTCGTGGATTATGATGATATTTGGTATGTTGGTAAGTCTTAGGAAGATAAAGGTCAAGGCCAAATATGGGCCTCCTGGTGGATGACCATGGTACTGCAGCAGAACTTCCGGTTTATGTATCTTTTGTCCTGAACATGCTATGGTTTTGACTTTTTGGTGACAAATAACTTTTACTGTCAGAAATAAGTCTTGTGAGTTTGGTCCCCCTAGCAGCTTGTTCTGGAACTGCAGGGCACTTTCTGGCAAAATCTTTAAAAGTCAATAAGCACAAATAGGAACAGCATATTTTCATCATTTTTAGGGTGTAGGTAGCGGAGAGAGAGTTGTACATAATTGAATGCAAATTATGCAAATGGAGAGGTAAAGGGAGTGCAAGTGCGCCTACAGCGCCGAATACTGTACCGACATGCGCGGGTGTAGCCATGGCAACGAGTGTGCCGTGTGCAAAACCTACTTTGGCAGCACAAATCCTAGTAGTTTAAAGAGTTGATAATCACAAGATATAATTGAGTTTGTAGGACATATAGGCAAACACTTCGTGACAGGAACTACTAGTAGACACACAGGAAATCTAAGCTCGTACACACAACACTAACGTCTACATTCCAACTATTATGTACAAACACGGCACTAATGTCTACCTTTCAGCTTCAACTACTGTGTACAATCACTTACCGATGTTAATGACTGAGTATGCATATGTATATTATCCAGTCAATACTATAACGCTTACTATTCTCACTCTACAATTCTAGATAGCTAACATAGATTTTGATATCTGATATTACAACAAAGTATATGGGCTACTAAAAGCGAAACTAAGACTTATTCTTGTATTCTTGTAAATTATAGCCATAACTTAATTAGATATTAAAGTGAACAAGTATAGGGCTTTTTCTTGGGAAAAACCTTTGCCTACTTGCAAACATCATGAATTCTTATAGAATATTAAGCCTAAATGTTTATGAACATAACTCTCATATACCCTTAAGATTCGAATCGGGATACTAAGTGGCGAAACTGTAGTCAACAGCAGACTGTGCGTACTAATGTCACTACGAGATGGTCACAGTTGCAGACTTGGTGCCTCTGTGTGAATTCTCATATGTCGAGATAGGATAGCATTAGAGGTTGCAGAATAGCTACACTGGTCACACTTGTAGGGTTTTTCCCCTGTATGGGCACTTATATGTCGGGATAAGGTAATCTTTTGAGCTGTCCTGTATCCACCCTCCCCACACATGTAGGGTTTGTCACCAGAGTGCTTTCATAGATGTTGGTCCAAAGCAGATTTGTGTGCTGCAGAATAGTCACACTGGTCACACTTGTAGGGCTTTTCTCCTGTATGGGTTCTCATATGCATGGATAAGTGAGACTTCTGAGTTACCCTGTACCCACACTCCCCACACATGTAGGGTTTCTCACCAGCATGCATTGCTAGATGTTTGTTAAAAGTGGATTTCTCTGCAGCAGAATAGTCACACTGGTCACACTTGTAGGGTTTTTCTCCTGTATGGGTTCTCAAGTGTTTGGATAAGTTAAACCTCACAGCTGTCCTGTATCCACACATCCCACACATGTAGGGTTTGTCACCAGTGTGCTTTGATAGATGTAGGTTTATAGAAGATTTCCTTGCTGCAGAATAGTCACACTGGTCACACTTGTAGGGCTTTTCTCCTGTATGGGACCTCATATGTAGGGATAAACGAGACTTTTGAGTTGCCCTGTATCCACACTCCCCACACATGTAGGGTTTTTCACCGGTGTGTGTTGCTTTATGATCATCTAAGGTGAACTTCCGTGCTGCAGAATAGTCACACTGGTCACACTTGTAGGGTTTTTCTCCTGTATGGGTTCTCATATGATGGGATAAGTGGGACCTGTCACCTGTCCTGTACCCACACTCCCCACACATGTAGGGTTTTTCTCCTGTATGGGTTCTCATATGCTTGGATAGGTTGGACCTGTCACCTGTCCTGTACCCACACTCCCCACACATGTAGGGTTTCTCAGCGTTATTCAAGTTGACTTGTTGTGCTGCCGCCTGGTCTTCAGCATCGCTTGTTTTGCGGTCACAGTCGACCTGGGAAACCCCGTTTGGAGACCCATCACAGCAGTTCTGACCAACTCCGGTGGGAGACCCGTGTCCTGCCATTGCCAAGTTCAGCCTAACAAAGAAAAAAAATTATACAGATTAAGCGTTATAAGCTGTAAAGAATTTACAAGATCAGGTGGACAGATAGGATCTCCAACATTGAACTGTAGGATAGAGCAGGGCAAAAAACAGCTGAAACACAGATCCTTCAAAGGAAGTGGGGCTGGATAGGACACACCTTGAGGAAACCACCATCCAGTATCACACACCAGGCCCTAACCTGGAACCCACAGGGAAAAAGAAAGAGAGGAAGGCCCAGAAATAGTTGGAGAAGAGACACTGAGGAGGAGATGAGGAGAATAGCGAACAGCTGGGAGGACCTGAGGAAGACAGCCCAGAGGCGGGTGAAGTGGAGAGCCATCGTCGGTGGCCTATGCTCTGGCAGGAGCGAAGGGCCAAAGTAAGTAAGTAAGTTATAAGCTGTCAATGATAAAATAGAAGTTATAGAAAACAAGTTTTAAAAAAATTCTAACTTCACCAAGCTTTACAATTTTAACCTCATGCATTACAACGTAACCCAACATATTTCTAACGTGTTGTCTTTCTCGCATTTGAATAAATTTGCTTCTATGTTGTTCCAAAATCATAATTTGTGAGATCTTACAATCACTCACTCACACCACCAATCTCTTGAAACATTTCATATCATATTATTTATTACTTCTATGACAACGAACAATGGGTAAAATGACTCCATTCGCTAGGCTGGAAAGAGAGTCGGCAGTATAGCCTATAGGTTTGGTCACCAGGCTTCTCTATTTACTGTTTTTACAAATCAGTTCTACGCGTTTCTAGATTTTGTAATGTACGCCTTGTGCGATTCTTTACAATACAATTAACATTTCTATATAATTTCACGTACTCTAAAAAGGCCACTTTGCCTGATGCAAATGACGTACATGTAAGTGGCGAGGGTCGAACGTATGTTAGGTTTCGCCCCCCTCCCCCTTAAATTCCACGATATTCACATCCTGAAAACGCCTACAAATTATCATCCTACTGCGGTTCTTCTTCCACAGAAATGGTCTTAAACTATTCCCCTCAACATCACAATACTTTTCTGTCCGTTACTAAGCCTTACCTGCTTCCTATGATGGTTTTTCTCTTCACGTAAACCGGAACTCGGGCAGCTTTGTCCTTCCTGTCCTTTGTCCAAGAGGTCAGAGGTGAACTCAATCTGGGTCAAAGGTGAAATTGTGGACCTGATTACCCACATTGTACATTTGACGTCAGTTGGCACGTTACGTTTTCCTCATAATGTGAAAGTTCTGCGTTTAAAACCCACCACTTTAAGAACGTAACAAGCGTCTAACTTTTGTTTCTGATCTAATACGAAAGAGAGATTTTTAGGGAATAAATGTCAAGCCAAACTGTTTGGTCTGAATCTTGATTTCTGTGTTTTATGATCAACTCACCACCTCGGACAATATTCCATCCAAGGAAAAAATGCAACACAGAAGGAAACATTATGTTCAAGGTACTACACAATTTAATAATGTCAGTGAAAAATATCTAGATCTAGATACATCTTCGAAGAAACAACAACTACAAAACTGGAAATTTACTTGCATACAACCTATCGTCTACCTTTTCAATGGCGTAAAATTACTTTCTACTTTGGAAACTGAAGCACATCATTTATTTTACACTAATACAAATCATTAACCATTAGTTTTTGGGTTTTATCCTAACAAATCCTAGTAGTTTAAAGAGTATATATTAGTCAAAAGATATAATCGTGTTTGTAGGACATATAGCCAAACACTTCGTGACAGGAACTACTAGTAGATACACAGAAAATCTAAGCTCGTACACAAACACACAACACTAACGTCTACATTCCAACTACTGTGTACAAACACAGCACTAATGTCTACCTTTCAGCTTCAACTACTGTGTACAATCACTTACCGATGTTAATTACTGATTATGTATATGTATATTATCCAATCAATACTATAACGCTTGCTATTCTCACTCTACAATTCTAGATAGCTAAAATAGATTTTGATATCTGATATTACAACAAAGTAAATGGGCTACTAAGCGAAACTAAGACTTATTCTTGTACCTAAATTATAGCCATAACTTAATTAGATATTAAAGCGAACAAGTATAGGGGTTTTCTTGGGAAAAACTTTGCCTACTTGCACACATCATGAATTCCTACAGAATATTCAGCCTAAATCTTAATGAACATAACTGTCATATACCCTTAAGATTCGTATCAAAATATTAAGTAAAGAAACTGTAGTTAACAGCAGACTGTGCGTACTAAATGTCACTACGAGATGGTCACAGTTGCAGACTTGGTGCCTCCGTGTGAATTCTTTTATGTCGAGTTAGGGAAGACTTAGAGGGCTGCAGAGAAGCTACACTGGTCACACTTGTAGGGTTTTTCTTCTGTATGGCCTTCCATGTGTTTGGCTAAGGAAAACCGGTAAGTGGTCCTGTACCCACACTCCCCACACATGTAGGGTTTCTCACCGGTGTGTTTTGCTTTATGATCATCTAAGGTGGATTTCCGTGCTGCAGAATAGTCACACTGGTCACACTTGTAGGGTTTTTCTCCTGTATGGGTTCTCATATGTTCGGATAAGTGGGACTTTTTAGCTGTTCTGTACCCACACTCCCCACACATGTAGGGTTTCTCACCGGTGTGTTTTGCAAGATGTTTGCCCAAATCATATTTCCGTGCTGCAGAATAGTCACACTGGTCACACTTGTAGGGTTTTTCTCCTGTATGGGTTCTCATATGTTTAGATAATGTAGACTTGTAAGTCGCCCTGTACCCACACTCCCCACACATGTAGGGTTTCTCACCAGCGTTATTCAAGTTGACGTGTGCTGCCACCTGGCCTTGAACATCGCCTTTTTTGCTGTCACAGTTGACCTGGGAAACCCCGGTGGGAGACCCATCACAGCAGTTCTGACCAACTCCGGTGGGAGACCCGTGTCCTGCCATTGCCATGTTCAGCCTAACAAAAAAAATGAAGAAATTATACAGATTAAGCGTTATAAGCTGTCAATGATATGATAGAATTTATAGAAAACAAGCTTCAAAGAATTCTAGCTTCACCAAGCTTTACAATTTTAACCTTTAACAATTGTAACCCAACATAACTCTAACGTGTTGTCTTTCTCGCATTTGAATACATTTGCTTCTATGTTGTTCCAAAATCATAATTTGAGATCTTACAATCACCCACTCACACCACCGAGCTCGCTCAAAATATTTTATATCATATTATTTATTACTTCTACGACTACGAACAATGGGTAAAATGACTACATTCGCTAGGCTGGAAAGAGAGTCGGCAGTATAGCCTATAGGTTTGGTCACCAGGCTTCTCTATTTACTGTTTTTACAAATCAGTTCTACGCGTTTCTATATTTTGTAATGTACGCATCGTGCGATTCTTTACAATACAATTAACATTTCATATAATTTCACGTACTCTAAAAAGGCCACTTTGCCTGATGCAAATCGACGTACATGTAAGTGGCGAGGGTCCAACGTATGTTAGGTTTCGCCCCCCTCCCCCTTTAATTCAACGATATTCACATCCCCAAAATGCCTGCAAATTATCATCCTACTGCGGTTCTTCTTCCACAGAAATGGTCTTATACTATTCCAAGCAACATTAGAATATTTTTCTGCCCGGTTCTAAGCCTTACCTGCTTCCTATGATGGTTTTTCACTTCACGTAAACAGGAACTCGGGCAGCTTGGCCTTGTCCTTCTGACGTCTCGCGAGGTCAAAGGTGAACTCGATCTGGGTCAAGGGTGAAATTGTCGACCTGATTACCCACGTAGTACATTTGACGTCGGTTTGTACGTTATGCTTTCCTCATAATGTCAACGTTCTGCGTTCAAACCGACCACCTTACAACGTAACAAGCGTCTGACTTTTGTTTCTGATCTATTAAAAGAGATATTTGAAGGGAATGAATGTCAAGCCAAACTGTTTGGCCTGAATCTTGATTTCTGTGTTTTATGATCAACTCAACACCTGTGACAATATTCCATCCAAGGAAAAAAAGGCAACACAGAAGGAAACATCATGTTCAAGGTACAAAACTATTTAATAATGTCAATGGAAAATATCTAGATACATATTTGAAGAAAAACTACAACTACAAAACTGGAAATTTACTTGTATACACTATCGTCTATACCTTTTTCACTGGCGTAAATTTACTTCCTACTTTGGAAACTGAAGCACATCAGTCATTTTACACTGATACAAGTCAATACTATTAGCTTTTGGGTTTATTCATACAAATCCTAGTAGTTTAAACAGTTGATATTAGTTACAGGATATAATTGTGTTTATAGGACATATAGGCAAACACTTTGTGACAGGAACTACTAGTGAATACACAGGAAATCTAAG